ACAGCAGCACTGCGGCTGGCCACCTACGCAGAAGAGGGCGAGGGCCACAGAAAGGACTGTGGCTTTTCACATTGCGTATGACAGGACTGTACTGTCCTTGCTTTGCAACTGACAGAAAATGCAATATGAAAACAAAGTCAGGGACAGGCATTCACAACCCACATGAAATCATTGCTCAGAAAAGCAGGACCAACAAATACTGCCTGAAACACTCATCGCTGAGGCTGACGCTGAAGCTCACTTATGTTTACGTTTCCAGCCACTGAAGAAACAACCTAAGGAAGGCTGTCCCAATAAAGATCCTCAGGGAAAAACACCGAAACGACAGGGGTGCTTCTCTGACTACAGAAAGGGGCACGGGAGCGTCTCCTCACCCAGGCGCTGTGGCCGAGAGCAGCTCTTACTCCAAGGGCCAGACGACCTCACAAGCCCTCTCCATCATTATCAGAGACCCGTTCTGCATTCTCATAAGGGAACCAAAAATACAGCCTCTTTCCTTTTTCCTTGGGGAGACCCACCACTTGAAAATGCTTTTAAAGAACTCAACTACCTTCGGATATCCTGGGAACTATTAGAGTTGACGATACTTTCTGCGGAGCCCCGAATTTACAATGCCTTCCATTCTCCACCCACTGAGAACCAAATGACCAAATTAGGCTTAAAATACTCAAACTTGGGGGCCGCCCGGGGGCCAGAGTCAGAACAGCATCCAACTCTTGATTTCAGCTCAGGTCATGATCTCAGGGTTGTGAGTTCAAGCCCCACATCAGGCTCTGCGCTCAGCACGGAATCTGCTTCTCCCTCTCCCTCTGCCTCTGCTTGTGCTCTCTCTCAAATACACACATCTTTAAAAAAATACTCAAACTTGGATTGGAAACAGTGGTTAAGGAGAGGTCAATAAAAATAATGCAATGAAAAGGTTTAATAAACTAATTGCAAAGGGAGAAAACCCTAGAAATGTCACCGTTAAGGCAGAGCTGAGCACACCCCCTCTATCACACTTCAGCCTCCAGGACGAGGAGTGCCTTCCATCTACGGCCTCCTCCGAGCCTCGAGTTACTAACAACAGCGCAATCTGATGGGGAAGGCTATGAATTCTCGAAGACACGCAGTATCCACATGCTCCTCTTCAATGCCTTCCCTTTCCAAAAATCATACAAGATCTGTCATCAGAAATAAAACTGCATGCCAACCACACCCTGATGGAGAGATCGAGCCACATTATTACTAAGTACAGTTCTCCCCAAGGCAAAACCTCAAGGTCTGTTTGGGGGCCCCCCTTCTCCTTGTCCAGTCTGTTAGCTGTTCTCCTGCTGATTCTGCCCCTCCCTGCCACCCAGCTGTATGGATGCTGCGATGGACACACACTCACCATCCCTCACCAGTCTGCGTCTGCTAGAACCCCGAACTGGTTGTCCCCTCATCAACATGTAGCCCAGAGGATCTACCTTGTATTGGGCATCCACAGCTTAGTGACCAAACCTCCTCAGAAGGGGTGCAAGATGGATCCCAGGACATCACAATGTGCTCTGCAGTATGGGACGTGGTAACTCCACACATCTTTCACAAGAAGAACAGAGCACGCAAATAGGGGTTAATATTTGCTCCATCACCATTAACCTCCGTAACATCATGAATGTTGCTTCAAAAAGCAGCTTAATCAGGACTCAAAGTGTGAATGGACTGGCTACCCCTGAACTGATCATGCTGAACTGTGTGATTTCTTACCTTTATCCTCCGAACTTTTAATCCTAAAATGAGGCAAAAAGAGAACAGGGGAATATTTAAAGGTCTTCTATTTTCATGCCCATTACAAAAAAAAAAATTAACAAAGTTGGTTAGAATCTTGATTGCCTAAATGATTTTTATGACAATTTTCCTAGTTTTAGAAAGCGTACCCTAAACCAAAGAATTGGGAGTGCTATTTCTCAAAGACATTCAAGGGAAGAGAAGGTCATTTTATACAGCAATCTGAAATGGTGGCTATCCATATTTTATTTTCTTTATCAAATTTTAGGTTCAAAATTAAATTGCTTTTTCTTCCAGGGAAAGAAAAATATCAGACATTTGCTGCAGTTCTGGGTCATCCGTGGCTTCTCCCCACAGGTTTGGATATGTATTTTTGTGGAAAGAGGAAAAAGGAGGAGAAAAACAAAGAAAAAAGGTAGAGTAGGGAAAAAGAGTCTACTAGGTGTTCAAGGCAACCGGACGTCATAAAAGAGTGTTACCTAATTCTGCCTTTGCTTCGCCCGCTGGTGGGCGGTCCACAGTTTCTGTCAGATAGCTGTGTTAGTAAGGGCACCCGGGGATTTTTCACCACACGTGGAGAAGCGCCTGTTAGCAAAGCTCACTACTTCAGAGGACTCTGACAGCAGTTTGAATGGGAGCAGAAGAGGGGAGAGTTTGTGGGGCTGGGGGAAAGGAGACAGACGAACATGGAGTTTGTTATGCAAAGAAAACGGGTCTGACTGTATTCTCTAATTCTATGTGTATATAGAAGACATTTAATTCTTAGATGTTTAAAATGTGTGGGATGAAGGGGAAAAAATGCATGAGGAAAAAACCCACAAACATGCAAATTCCTTAGTGTAGGAGGAGTGGCAGGTTTCCTACATTACAGTTTTCTCAGTCTGACACGTCACAGCCTGTTGACCCGCCCTAGAGTGGTGACCGCAGGATCCTCCACAATTCAGTCATCACTAGGAGTCCATGCAGACACCAAACATTTCTAGATGTATTCAACCAAGCTTAAATTTAAATAATTTGCTATGAAAACTGTAAGATAAAAAGTAACTTTGAAAATTCACAGCCATGTAACATTATCTAAGACTAGTAGCATATATAATTACCAATCTTATATAAAATTTACAGCCATGAATATTGAATAAAATTCAGAATGGCAGAGAAATGCCACAATATAAGTTCAATAAATATAACATGTTATCTTTATTATAATCTGAAATATAAATTAATTTTTGCTTCAAATACTGCAAAAACCAATCTCTAGTCTAAAGCTACTAAATTTCTGTCAGAAAATCATGTGGCCTGAAGCAAAAATAAACTATTGGGACTATATCAAAATAAAAAGCTTCTGCACAGAGAAGGAAATAATCAGCAAAACTAAAAGGCAGCCTACAGATGGGAGGAGATATCTATAAATGACATATCAAATAAAGGGCTAGTATCCAAAATCTATAAAGAACTTATCAAACTCAACACCCAAAAAACAAATTATCCAACTAAAAAGTGAGCAGAATGGGGCACCTGAGTGGTGCAGTCAGTTACATGTCCGACTCTTGGTTTCAGTTCAGATAATGATCTCAGGGTTGTGGGATGGAGCCCCATGTTGGGCTCTGTGCTCAGCAGGGAGTCTGTGTGAGATTCTCTCCCTCTGCCCCCCCCCACACATACTCATGTGCTTGCTCTCTAAAATAAATAAGTCTTTAAAAAAAAAATGGGCAGAATGAACATTTTTCCAAAGAAGACATCCAAACGGCCAACAGACACATGAAAAGATGCTCCACATCACTCGGCATCAGGGAAATACAAACCAAAACCTCAATGAGATACCACCTCACACCGGTCAGAATGGCTAAAATTAACAAGTCAGGAAACGACAGATGTTGGTGTGGAGAAAGGGGAACCCTCCCACACTGTTGGTGGGAATGCAAGCTGGTGCAACCACTCTGGAAAACAGTATGGAGGTTCCTCAAGATGTTAAAAATAGAGCTACCCTACTACCTAACAATTGCACTACTGGGTATTTACCCCAAAGACACAAATGTAGGGATCCGAAGGGGCACGCGCACCCCAATGTTCACAGCAGCAATGTCCGCAATAGCCAAACTGTGGAAGGAGACGAAATGCCCTTCAGCAGATGAATGGATAAAGACGTGGTCCATATATACAATGGAATATTACTCAGCCATCAGAAAGGATGAAATCTTGCCATTTGCAGTGATGTGGATGGAGCTAGAAAGTATAATGCTAAGCGAAATCGGTCAGAGAAAGACACATACCATAAAATCTCACTTATACATGGAATTTAAGAAACAAAACAAATGAGCAAAGGGGGGATAAAAAAAGAGAGAGAGACAAACCCAGCAACAGACTCCTAACAACAGAGACACACTGCTGGTCACCAGAGGTGGTGGGGAGATGGTGGAAACAGGTGATAGAGACTGAAAAGTACACTTAACATGATGAAAAACTCTAATAAAATGATAAAAAAAAGAAAAAATCAGATTGTCCGTCAGTTAAAAATACAGTTGGTAATTATGCAAATGCCAAATAAAAACGTAGAGTAAAATCACCTACTTGACCCTTAACACTTTGAAGGAAGAGGGCCTGCGATCTCCCCACAAGCACACCTGTGATACAGACTGCCACTCAGCACACCGTGCTTCCGAGTTTGTGCAGTCTCTGTCATCTGGATGCATGGCTACACGACACAGAAAACCCCCAGCCTCCTCTGCATCTAGTGCTCTTGCCGATGAGGTGTGCACAAGTGCAATCACGTCCCCTCCCCTTCTACCCTACTGACCGGGACACGGATGCCATGGGCGATACCCCACCTCGGGCTGTGCAGAGGAGGCTACATTCAGCACAGCAACCACACAGAATGTCCTTCCATCCCGGAGCAAAGTCACTACACCAGCTCAGGCTGGTGAAAAGCGCATTTGTCTTGTGCAAGGTCTCAGACGGATGCTGCCAAAACCGATTCTTGATATCCTGAGGTTCCTCAGCTATAATATGGGGTTAACGTAGTCCCTTTTTCTCAGATTACTGGAAGGATTAAATGTCTTCAATAGAAGAAAGTAGCACCTATGGGAAGGTTCCAGACCATCTACTAGGCTCAGTCTTCAGCTAAATAATGTGTGACTTCTCATCAGCCTTGCATATGGGCAAACTCAGCCAATGACAAGTTATGGCGCTCTGTGGGGACTTCACCATACATGTACAGCAGGCAAAGGACGGGGCTCTGTGCGGCTATAACTTACATGCTGTGACTGATAGTACGAGGGTTAGTCTCTCTTTCCAGGTCCCGACTCCAGGATTCACATCTCTTCCAGCCATCTTCTGTCTTAATCCAGCTCCATCCAGGAGATCTCCAGTCCTGACCCAAAAATGGCATAGTTCTCCTGTAAAAGAAGTAATTTAATTTTTTTTAAAGATTTTATTTTTTTATTTAATTGACAGAGAGAGAGAGACAGCGAGAGAGGGAACACAAGCAGGGGAGCGGGAGAGGGAGAAGCAAGCTTCCCGCCGAGCAAGGAGCCCGATGCAGGGCTCAATCCCAGGACCCTGGGATCATGACCTGAGCCTAAGGCAGCTGTCCAACTGACCAAGCCAACCAGGTGCCACAGTAATTTTTTTTTTAAGACTTTATTTATTTGACACAGAGAGAGAGAGCAGGAGCAGGGGAGCGGCAGGCAGAGGGAGAGGGAGAAGCAGGCTTCCCGCTGAGCAAGGAGCCCGCTGCGGGGCTCGATCCCAGGACCCTGGGATCATGACCTGAGCCAAAGGCAGACGCTTAACCAGCTGAGCCACCCAGGCGCCCCAGAAGTAATTTACTTTAAAAAATGTATGTACAATTAACAGGTTTACTTTCACTTATTCCTTAATTTTAAAGACTAAAGTTCTTAATATTTAAATGCCTCCATATACCCTAAATGCTCAGGATGGACTGATGGTAACACAACACCTCGGCCGTACGAACACGGCAAGACAGGATATGCGCCGGTGGACTGACTAACCCAATACGGCGTCATGTCAGGACAGGCTTACCAGAGGTACCATCTCAGCTTGTAGCTGGAGAGCCAGCAGGAGTCAGGCACTGAGGAAGAACAGGGAGTAGTACACCAAACAGAAAACGCTCTGCACCAGAAATTAGAAGCAATGGAACACGAAACATATTCCTGGTGAGCACTGTACGTTCTTCAGTTTGGTTGAAGCTTACGGTGTGAGACTGGGCGTAGGGGGTGGTGAGAAGTGAGGACAGGAAGTGATCAAGTCAAAGGACTGGACTTTTCTCTGAGGGCAGCAAGAGGGCCAGAGAGGAACTTCAGCAAGTAAAGGATCTGATGAGATTCAAGCTTTACAAAAGCCTCGGGGTCACGCTGTGAGGACGGAAGCCAGAGCTGCCCAGGGCAGGGGTGGCACCAGAGGGAGGAGGAGTTAGGACCGGTGGCTACTGAACACTGGCCACCAGAAGGTCGAAGTGTGGCTGCACTGGAGGAGAGAGATTCTAGAAGCATTCAGGAGGCAGAGTTCAAGAGCAATCAAGGACTTCCGTCTTGCATGCTGTCTGTCTGGCTCTCTCACGGACTCCAAGGGAGCCAGCTGCCATGTGCTCAGCTATCCCAGGGAAAGGCCCATGGGGCAGGCACAACGTGCCAGAAAGGCTGGATGTGTGAGGGGAAACCAAAGATAGCCAGGTTTAGCTTCTGGCACCTAGACATGTTGATTCAGTTTTGGACAAGCCTGTTAGATTTGCTGAACCCATGGTGATAGGCACTATCCTGGAATCCACGTGTAAGAATCCAGGTGTAAAAATTATGACCTTAAAAATGATGACACAGACATTATTACTTTCATGAAGCTTGCAATTTGGTGAGAGCAAGGCCTCAAATACTAGCCCTTCCATTGTCTCTCGGTTCTCAACCCTTGCTGTGCGTTAACATTACAGTCTTGGAAGCTTTTAGAAAATACAGTGCTTAGCTTCACCCCAGACAATTAAATAGGAGTATCTGTGGGCAATGGGAGTACGCAAAGGAGCTCAATAAACACCGCACGAAGGAATGCATATACAGATCCATCGCTCAGGAGAGAGGGGAAGGCTGGAGAACAGGACAGGAAACTCATGAGCATTCAGGTAGAAGCCAAACCCACAGCAGTGATGCCAGAGAGAACACATAGAGCCTAGGGAAAAACGCTGAGGGAGGAGGACATTTGAGGCACAAGCGATAAATAGGAGCCCAGAAAGGGAACTGAAAAGGAAGAGCCAAAGAGGTAGGAGGAAGGGAGTAGGAACTCAAGAGAACATATTTTAAGAAAGGAATGATTGACAGAGAGGGAAATACTTATTAACAAGCTAGCACAGTAAGAATTGACAAGTATATATTGGATTTAGCCTCAAAAAAGTAGCAGATAACTCAACCAAAAATAGTTTCAAAAATGTGTTATATTAATCTCACATCCAAAGTAGACTTGGAGCATTTTGGTAATGTGGAGTATTCCTAACAGAGTACCTGGGAGAAAGAAGTTTTCAAATATAATCTCCCAACTATATTTATTATAACTAACAAAAAAACAGGCTATTAAGTAAACATTTACACTGGCTTAGAATCTGAGACAAAAAAATTAGAAGGAAATTCTAAGTCTTCAACAGTATTCCTGGGTCAACTCTAAGTGCTCCCTTCCTTAATGAAACTTGGTTTTCCAGGAAGAACATCTTTAACAGTCACATACTCACTCAAATTCTTATTTTAGAAGATACTTAAAATCATTATTTAAATCTCAGCACTATTTTTGTAAGTATCATCTTTTAAGACGTTTGAGACAGAGAGAAAGAAAGTGAGAAAGCACAGCGACAGAGGGAGAGGGAGAAGCAGACTCCCGCAGAGCAGGGAGCCCGACGCGGGGCTCGATCCCAGGATCCTGGGATCATGACCTGAGCCGAAGGCAGACACTTCACCGACTGCACCACCCAGGTGCCCCTGTAAATATCATCTTACAGACTTGTTTCAAACTACCAATCACCCTAAAATGCAGGAGCTACTACCACGTCCGGTCAGTTCATCGTTATCTAAAGCTGTCTCCAGTAGTATGCGCGCCTACCGAAGAAGGCAAGTGCAAACCATGATAAAGATGCTGCTTAAAAGGTAATTTAGTCTCATAAAACACAGACGAGAGAAGAATGTCTGTGAGGACCATCTCCGACAGTTGCCAACATTATCTCCTGGTATCATATACGGTGGATTCAGAAAACCTATATTAAAAAAAGTGGCAACCATGCAGAACACTGCTGCACAGACCAAATACAGACTACTCCCACGACAGTTAAACACAGACCAAACGTGTTATTATGCTGCTATGTGTCCCTTCCCTGAAGGTGTACTATCTAGTCCAAGAACTAAAAAGACAACAGCCACATCTTCTTTACCCATTCATCAGTTGATGGCCATTCGGGCTGTTTCTATAGTTTGGCTATCATGGGTAATGCTGCTAGAAACATCAGGGTGCAGGTGCCCCTTCAAATCTGTATTTTTGTTTCCTTTGGGTAAATACCTAGTAGTGCAACTGCTGGGTCGTGGTGGGGGGTGTGGGCTAGATGGGGGATGGGCATCAAGGAGGGCACTTGTGATGAGCAATGGGTGTTATATGTAAGTGATGAACCACTGAATCCTACTTCGGAAAGCAAAATTACATTATATGTTAATTACAATTTTAAAAATTTTTGAATAAAATAGATAACAGCAAATAAGAAAACTCACAAATAATATATATAAATATATTTAAAAGATTTAAAAAATGTATATGTATGTACTGAATGAGCAGTAAAGAATAACTAGAAGAAATTCAGAGTAAAAAGCAGACCATTTGGGACCTCTGAAGAAAAACCAGGGCATCATCTTGGCCTTAAAGCACAGTTAGATCTTAAGTAAATGGAGAGACCAGGGGAAAAAAATACCAATCACAGAAATGGTGGGCAAACACGTAACACCTTTGAGAATAACAAACAGAATAGGTTGGCTGAAATAGAGAAATCTTTGGGAAGGTTGGTAGGCAGTTTGGAAAGGTGACCGGAAGCCAGATCATGGAAAACTTGAATGTCAAAGCTGTTTGGACTTTATTCTCCAAATAATTAAGAGTTTTGGGGCAACGTAGTGATAGGAGCAGTGTTATTCTGAGAATAACCTGCCAGGTCCTGTGCGGTAGATGGAGTGGGAGAATGGAGGCAGACAGCACAACTCAGGCAACAGAAACTTCCTCCCAACACGTCAGCTAACAGACTTTCTTAAAACATGATGACGCACAAACATTGCCCTTGTCTATGTAGGCACTATGCCCACTATGCCCACTCACCACTTAAGACACTTCTATTCAGGCCCCAAAAGCAACTCCTAGAACATTTAAGCGAAGTTTTCACTGTAAAGAGTGAGCTTGGTGTTTCAAGTAATATAATCAACTCTTTTGCAACTACCTCTGTGAGAAATGAATATGGTTAGCCTGATAGTTCAGGTGCCGTTTGTATTTATATGGATTGGAAGGAACGAAGCCCAGCCCCATGGAGCATGGAAATAAAAAACAGGAATTTCCAAGGTTTTTTATCTTCAACACAGATGAAAAGATTTGTTTTGGGTAGATGTGTGGATTCCATAGATGTGACATATGTTCTTTGCATCACAATGAAGCTTTATTTTAAAGTATAATCCTATACAGTTCATGAACTAAGGCAGACTCTGGAAGAAGAGTTACTACAAACAATAACAAAATCCATCAAGGGAAAAGCAAGAAAAAAAGACAACGCGCAATTCGAAAGGCCTGGTATCAAATTTTCAAAAATACTCCCAACCTGAGGCATCTAAATTTGCGATCGGAAATATTACTACACTTCTGGAATGATGAACAACCCATCACTTTTTATGGAAATTTATTTATCTGTCCTGCTAAAAGACCTGAATTGCTGTAACTTTGTTTTAATTAAAATCACATTTGTTTCGAAAAATTTCAAATACAAAAATAAAAGCAAAACTTACTCTTCAAAATCAAGCACAGAAGAGCAACTCCTCAAAGGGCAGCTACTCAGTTGCAAATAGCTGGTACGAATTGCAATTTCATGCATGTTTCACTCTAACTGATGTCAGAGAGCATCCAGGGCTAAAGTCTTACAGATCTTCCCTTAATCTGTGTTGTAGGTGGCATGAGGTGGAAGCACAGGACTTCTCCAAGTTGACTGGCCCGTGGGAACTCCCAAGAGAAGAGACGCAGAAGCAACCAAGAAATGTCTTCCTCCAACAAGCAACCCTTCTTAGCTAATGATAATCCTAGCACACACTTATTAGACCTTAGTATGAGTTAGGCTTCCTCTGAACAGTTTACCTGCACCATCTCAGCCCTCACAACTGCCCTG